CCCCCCCCCCGAAGGACACACGGGGCGGCGAGGGGCCCAACCGGCGGGCGGGGCTACACGCACACATCCCCGACAATGGTCCAGCGAGTGGTGTCGTCGATGACCGGCGGCGGGGGCGGCTCGAAGGCCGGGGCCCCGGGCGGGATGCCGGTGTCCGAGGCCGTGCCCGGGGCCGGGGCGTCCAGGTCGGCCCGGGTGCGCGGCAGGGCCGCCACACTGGCGAAGCGCACCCGGCAATTGGTGGTGGCATTGTCCAGGCGGAAGGGGGCCGAGGTGGTCTCGCGGATGGCCACGGTGGTGGTGGACTCCGAGGTGTGGACCTCCACGCGGAGGAGCACCAGCCGCACGCCGCCGGCATGTGCCGGGCAGGGGCGCGGCGGGGCCCGGCGAGGGCCGGGCCCGGTGGCCGTGGCATGGGCGGCCGCGGTGGCAACGGCCTCGGCCGCTTCGGCGGCCGCCTTCGGGCACCGGGCGGCCGCCTCGTCGAGGGCCACCAGCAGGAAGCTGGACCGAGCCGTGTCGCAGTCCACCGGCCAGGTCCAGGAGGACAGCCGCGCGGCCAGGCGAAGTTGCACCGCGCGGGTGGCCTGGTCCGGGAAGGGGCCGGGGCCCGGGGCCGGGGAGGGGCCCTCGGGGCCCGGGCCGGCTGCCTGCTGCCCGGCCGGCCCGCATGTCGGGCACTCGAAGTCCAGCCCGGGGGCCGGGTCGGCCCCGGGGGCCGGGGCGCAGGCACACCGGAGCGGCACGCGCAGGCCTCGCCGGCCGGCCAGGGCCCGGATGCAGCGCCAAAAGGCCTCGGCCTGGAGGAAGTGGAATCCGGCGCGGCTGTGCGGCGGGAGGTACATCTGCGGCGGGTCGGCGGCGGCGGCGCGCTCGGGCCGCGAGCCGCCGCCCCCGGGGCCCGTGCCCGAGAGGTGGATCCAGTCGAAGGGGTCGCCGGCTTGGCGGTGCTGGGCGCGGGCCTGCTCGAAGCCGGCCGGCGGCAACTGGCGCACCAGCAGCGGCAAGTCCGTCTCATTGCTGAGGACATACCGCGGCTCGATGGTCAGCACCCGGGTCCGGGGGTGGACCGAGGGCGGCACGCCGGCCCGCGTGAGGCTATGCGCCCGGACGATGCTCATGGACAGCTGGGCATAGCCGCGCGAGAGTTCCAGCAGGCTGGCCTCGACGGCGGCGGTGGCCGCCGCGTCGGCCGCCCGCCGGGACCCGGACACCCGGCGGCTGCGCAGGCCCGGGTCCACCGGCTCGGCCGTGCCGCCCGGCCGCCGGGCCAGGCGCTGCTCGGTGCCCCCCCCGAGGAGGGTCGGCCACCGGGCCATTCGCGGCTGGGCCGAGCCGGTGCCGTCCTCCGGGAAGGCCCGGTCGGCGGCCAGGCTGACCAGGTCCGGCACCAGCTCGATGACCCCCTCGGAGCCGGGGGCGTCGATGTACACGGCCTTCGGGTGGATCGTGCCCCGGGGCCCGCCGCCAGGAGGCCAGGGTGGTCAGTAACATGTGCGAGAGGTTCCCCTTCGGCCCCGGCCGGGGCCGGAGGCCGAGACTTCCGGCGGAGCCTCTGTCCGGCGGCACGGCCCTTCCGCCGTCGGCCACGTGTGCAGCTATACACAAAAGCATGCGTGTGTGTGCGTGTGCGTGTGTGTGTGTGTGCGTGTGTGTGTGTGCGTGTGCCCTCGGCGAGCAGGCGCATTGCCCCGGCGTACCTTGCTCCAGCGCGAGTGCCGGGTGCGCAGAGTGGCATTGGTGTGGCGCTTGGGGACCACCTTGGTCCGGCGCTCCAGGGAAAAGAGCCCGACCTGGGTGTCGGGCAGTTTGCTGCGCTCGCGGTTGAACAGGCTCAGGATGCAGTCCGAGGGCCGGATGCCGAGCTCGGCGTCCGACGCGTCGGCCAGGCCGAACAGACGCTCCGGGCCCGGGGGCGGCGTGCCAACTCGCCGCCGGGGGCCCTGGGCCGCGGCGGCGAGCTGCGCCTCGCGCTCCAGCATCGCCTCGGTGAAGTGCTGCCGCAGGATGTCCGAGTTGAAGGCAATCCCCGAGGCCGGGCCGATGGACATGCTGTTGGAGTGGGCCCCGGACTGCTTGAGCATGATCGGCAGCGAGGTCCGATTCAGCACCACCAGGCGACTGTAGAGGATGAACACCGGGGTGTTGGACTCGACATCGCGGCTGGCCGTACGGCCGGCCATGCCCCACCCACCGCGGCGGTGCCAGCCAAAAGCCCCAGTCAGCATGCTGAGCCCTCGCGGGCGAACCGAGCAGGGGCATGCTTTCCGCCTGCCGCCATTCCTCCCCCCCCCCCCCCCCCCCCCCCCCCTCCCCCCCCCCCCCCCCCCCCCCCCCCCCCCCCCCCCCCCCGCCCCTGGGCCATCGCCGCGGCTGAGCCCGCCCCCGAAGGCCGGCACGCCTGACGCTGGAGCCCCCCCTCCCCCCCCCCCTCACCCCCCCGCAACGGCGACGGGAGGCACGGGGACACGCACCGGAGGATGACCTCGCACGACTCGCCGTCCGGGCCCACCAGGCGCAGGGAGTGGTCCCGGCGGAAGCCCGGCAGGGAAATGAGCGACGTCCGGCCGGGGGTGGCCCCGGCACGGTCGGCGGTCAGGGCGGCCGGCTCCATGCGCACGCGCACCGGCTTCGGCGTGCGGAAGACCGCCCCGCCGGCCATGCACAGGCTCAGGCTCAGCCAGAAGCCCGGCTCGCCGGGCGGCGCGTCGGACAGGTTCTCCCGGCGGCGCCGGCGCTCGGCCCGGTTGAAGGCCTCGAAGGCGCGGCGATTGCGCTGGGCCAGCAGCCGGCCCCGCAGGGCCCGGTCCAGGTAGAGCCCCTCGCGATCGAGCAGGCCGGCCCCGAGGCCCAGGTACACCCGGGCCATGTACCAGATGGCCGGGCCGCGGGCCGGGCCCCGGCGCCGGGCCCCACGCGCGGGTGCCCCCGGCTCCGGGGGCTCCTCCGGGGTGGGCCCGGCCTGGCGGGCGGCTGCCCGAGGGGGTGCCGCCCTCGCGGCCGGGCCCGGCTCGCCGCTGCTGATGGGCCACGACAGGAAGCCGAAGGCCCGGCCGGATCGGATGAGCTTGCCGGTGAGGCCGCCGGCCGGGGAGGCCGCGCCGGCAGCCGGGGCAGGCCCCGGCGCCGGGCCGCCGGCCGGCCACTGTGCCGGGTCCTCGTCCATCATGGTGCACACGCGCTGCGGGCCGGACCAAGGCGGATAGGAATACCGCTGGCGTCGGGTCAGGGCCGGGGGGCGGGCAGGACGTACCGACGGGCTGGCCCCCGCGGCCGAGGCCGCCAGCCGGGCTCGCTCACGGGGGACCGGCCGACCGCGGGACCGGGGCAGCTTGAAATCGCTGGCCGGCGGCACGGTGCTCAGGCGCAGGTACGCGTCGAAGGGCAGGCGGTTGTCCACCTGCACCGGCGGCTTGAGCACCACGCGGATGGACGTCAAGGACCGGTGGATCTGCCATGCCCCGGGGCCAGGGCCGAGGGGGGGGGGGGGGGGGGGGGGGGGGGGGGGGGGGGGGGGGGGGCCGCCCCTCTTCGGCGCCCGTGACATGGCACCTGAGACGCGGCGAAGCACCGGAATCTGGCATGCCTCCTTCTCCCGCGCCCTGTTGCCCGGCCCATGCTTGGGTACGCACCACCACCGCCACGACGACCGGCCGGCCGGTCGGATCCAACGGAGCACACTCGACCACGCGCAGGACCTCCAGCGGCGGCCCGTACGGGGCGATGGCCAGCTTCCGGCTGAAGTCATGCTGAGACCGGTGGGCCTCGGCTGCCGAGGCGCCGGGTGTTCCGCCGCAGGCGCGCGCATGGCGCGACGTCGGCCGGACGCTGATCAGCACGGTGGTGCCGAGCCCCGGGTCGGCGAGGGTCGAGGGGGTGGCGAAGGCGGCGGCGGCGGCGGCGGCGGCCGGGCCGTCGGCCGGCCCGCCACCGGGGGTGGCTCCGGCCCACATGCCGGGCCCGGTGTACCCGGCCACCGGCGGCGGGCTCAGGTCCACCGGCAGGACGCACGACTGGCCCGGGCCGATGATTTGCCGGGACTCATGCTCGCGCATGTCGGTCCGGCCGAAGAAGCCCACGGTGCCCGGGTGGCTGGGCTCCTGGCGGGCGGTCACCCGGAGCTCGAATGTCCGGGCACAGGCATTGACCCCGCGAATGGGGGCCGCCAAAACCAGGCGCCGGCTCTGGCCGCCCTGCACCAGCGACGCCCCGATGGTGACCGAGCGCAAGTGCGGCGCCAGGCGGAACTGGCTGTCATTCTGGCAGGGCGGGAAGCGCCGGGCCAAGTCCGGGCCCAGGGACGCCGGGTGCCGGGCCTTGCGGAAGTGCAGGAGACGCTCGCTCTCCGAGCTGAGGGCCTGCCCGAGCCCGGTCAGATGCGTGCCGACATGCGACCCGGAGCTTGGCGAGGGTGGCGGCATGCCGCCGGGCCGGGCCCGGGGCCCGGGCTCGGTGCTGCTCGGGCCGGTGCTCGGAGTCAGCACCCGCGAGGAGACCGACGCCGTCAGGGCCCGCAGCGACACCACCCGCTCGTAGTAGATGAATGTCTCCCCGAGGGCAGCGGCCGTGGCGGCCGACGCCTCCAACAGGCTCCCCCCGAGGGTGAGGGTCTTTTCGTGGCCCGGCGGGCTGATGGCCGAGTGGCCCGGGCCGCGGCCGGGGGACCCGGGCTCCGCCCCGGGCAGGCGCATCATGACCGGCGGCGCTGGCACGCATAGCGTGATGCGGACCAGGTGGTGGTGCTTCGGCTGCGCCGGCCGACGGGCGCGCATGCGGCATGTGTGTGTGTGTGAGAGAGAGAGAGGGAAAAAAAAACAGAGGCAGCGGCGGGGCGGGGCGACAGGAGAAGAGGGGACCCAGGGAAACAGGACGGGGCGGGGGGCGGGCAACGCGAGAGGCCGGCCGGGGAGGCGGACCACACGACATCCGGGTCGCAAGGGGCCGCCACAGTGCGCGCACGTCCCCCTCCCCCCCCCGCCTCCCGAAGCATGCAGATGGCTGGGAGCACGCCACGCACCAGCACCCCGCCGGTGACTTCCTCCTCGAAGGCACTGTAGAAGTACTCCTGGCCGTGGGGGACGGCGGCCGGGGCGTGGCCCGGGCGCGGCCGGACCCTGAGCGCCTGCCCCGGGGCAAACTCCACCGGGGCGCCGCTGCTGCCGGGGATGAGGGCGGCCAGGCGCTCCTCGATGCACCGCTCGACCGGGGTCACAAAGACCGCCAAGCCGGTGGCATTGACAATGGAGAAGGGCGCCCAGGCCGGGATGAAGGCCAGGCGGGCGGCGAGGTCGCGCGCTGCGGCCCCCGGGCGCACGGTCATCGGCCCGGGCGAGGCCGGCCCCGGGGCCGGAGACCAGACCCCGGCATCGGCCTCGCCACCGGCCCGGGGCCCGGCCACCGGCGGGCCGGCCCCCGGCCGCCGCCCGGGCTCACCCCCATCCGAGGCACTCCACACGAGGATCTCCCGGAGCAGGCTGTCGCTCAGGGTGAAGTCCAGCATCTCCGGCGTGTGTAGCATGACGCGCATGGCCCCGCGGCCTTGGTCGCGGGCCAGGCGCAGGTCCACCGTGCGGGAGATCACCCGCCGGGCGCCCGGGCCCCAGGCCGGCAGGCGTGGCCAGGGGGAGGGCGCATTGGCCGGCAGGTGGCGCCGGTGCCAGGCAGCCGGTCGCAAGCCGGCCGCCCAGTCCCGGAGCTGCAGGCGCCGTGACGACCCGTGCCGGGCGGAGGCCGGGGCCCCGGCCGCCGTCGAGGCGCTCAGGGCCACCAGCTTGGACACCACGGCCGAGGTGTCGCCGCCGCTGGTGGCCAGCGGGTCGCGGTCGCCGGCCCCGGCGCCCGGCTCGGTGCGACTCGGCTCCAGGACCACATGCCAGCTGAGGGACGACCGGTCAAAGCGGTAGATGGCCACCGGCCCGAGGGAAAAGCGCGCCTCGATCTGTGGCCCCCCGGCCGGCAGGGGCCCATTCGGGCGGTTGGTTTGGCGTGTGGGTGTGGTTGTGGGCGTGGTCGGCGGTCGGGGCGTGGGTTGGTCCCACATCAGGCAGGGGCGTCGAGCGGCATCGCAAAGGGTCAGCATCGGGCGCGCGCGCGGGGGGGGGGGGGGGGGACACTCGCAAATGGGTACAGCCACAGGCCCGGCCAGCCTGCCGCCGGCGGGGCACGTACATCGCCCGAGGTCCAGTTCAACATCCACGCCTCGAGGCCGGCCAGGCGGACATACAGCACCGGCAGGCCGACCCAGTCGCGCGCGGCCACGATGAGCGGTGCCTGGCAGCCGCCCGATGCCGAGCGCTGCCCGGGGCACGGGCCGGCGGTGGGCCCCTTCGGGGCCGCGCCCGCGCTCGCGCCCGCCGCGGCCGGTGCTTGCCGGCCGGCCGACACCGACCGGCTGGTGGCATGCGGCACGCCGGCCACCCCGACACTGGTGGACACATGCAAGTGCAATGCCTCGACCATGATGTCCACGCGCTCGAACGCCGGCAGCACTGGCTCCTGGCTGGTGCCGGGCCGCTTGCTGGCCGGAACGTCTGCGGCCAGCGGGCATCCGGGCCCAGAAGCCGGGCAGGGGTCACACGGTCAGATGGACAGCGGCCGCACCCGGGACAGACCAACCCCCCGGAGGGCGGCCTGACAAGGCGCAGAAGTCGCAGGGAAAAGGCCCCCCCCCCCCCCCCCGCCTGCCCGCCTCGGGCAAAGTAGCCCACGCCTGGGGAACATACCCGGCCGGGGCGACGCCACCAGGGCCAAATCCAGGGGGTCCAGGGCGCCGGTGCGCGGGCGCAGGCCGCACCCCGGGGGCAGATGCTGCAGGCGTGGGACCGCCCGCAGGCGATCGGCCTCCAGGAGTTGTTCCACCCGCACTGGGCCGCCGGGGGCCGGGGGGTCGGGCGCGGCCGGGGCCACTTCCGACGGGCCGCCGGCCCCGAGGATGGACGGCACCTCGGCCGTCGGGTCGACTTGCAGGAAGCGCGACCGGTCGATGGTGGCCAGCACGGCCCCCACCACATCGGTCAGGGCATGGAGGCTGCCCCCGAGGCCGGTGGTGTTTCCCAGCAAAGACAGCGGCGTGGACAGCTGCTGGCTCGGGGCCGGCACATGCAAGTGCATGACCACCGGCGACAGGTGCAGGCGCACCAGCGTGGCCGGGCGCATGGGCGGCAGCCAGATGGCCTGCAGGCCGACATCCGACTGGCCGGCCCCCGCCCCCGGGGGCCCGGCCGACGAGGCGGTCGACGCGGCGCTGGCCGGGCGCGTGCCGCCGGCGGCCATCTGCCGGCCCGAGTCCCCCGGGGCGGCCATGACGCACGAAAGCAGGGCATCCGGCACGAGCCACGGGTCCGGGCGGATGCTCCACCGGATGCCATCGGCCGGGGGGGCTGGCGAGGGGGCGTCGTCCGGCTGGCCGGGGTGGGCGGCCCCGGCTGCCGGGGGATGCCCGGGCCCCCGGGGCCCTGGGCCGGCCAGGGCGCCCGGCGCGCGCGGCTCCGGCACCGCGTGCCGATACCCGAAGCCAATGTCCACGCCCATGTCGGCCATGCCGGCCGGGCCGACGGACGACAGGGCCGACGAGTGCCGGAGCAGCGGCACGAAGCCGGCCCAATCGGCGCTCAGGGCCACCAGCAGCGCGGCATAATCGTCGGCCATGGTGTCGTGCGTGCATGGCGAGGGGGCCGGGGCCGCCGGGGCCGCCGGGGCCGCCGGGGCCGCCGGGGCCGCCGGGGCCGCCGGGGCCGCCGGGGCCGCCGGGCCCGGCATGCCGGCCGCCCCGCGCGCCAGGAACACCCGCTGCCCGGTGTCCGCCAGCAGGCCGCGCACCGACACCCCCAGCTCGAAGCCCGAGGCGTGGAGCTCCAGCGAGCTGAGGTCCACCCGGAGGCAGGACTCCAGCGCGTCGTCCTCGTCGGCCGGCACCCCGCGCAGGAGGATGCGCGAGGGCCCCAGGGAGAAGGCCGCACGCGTGAGGTACGGCTCGAGGCGCGGGGGCCCGGCCGGGGCGGCCGGCCCGCCGGGGCCACCGGTGCCCACGCCCGGGGCCGAGGGCGCGCCGGCGCCCGTGGCCGCGCCCGTGGCCGGCCAGAACTGACACGCATGCCAGTAGGCCACCAGGCCGGCATCGGCCAGGCGCAGGCCCAGCGGCTGGTGCACGAAGGCGCTGCTGGCCCGGGCGGCGGCCCAGTCGGCCGGCACGCGGCCGGCCCGGCTGGCCATCTGCGAGCCGGTGATGCCGGCGCAGGCCACCCGCACCGAGGGGGACGGCGTGACCGAGGCCGCCGAGCCGGACAACATCGGCACCATGACCGGCGCCTCGACCTGGTACTGGAGCTGCACCGCCCGGATGCGCAGGTACTCCGCGTGGCTGGTGGGGGCCAGCGGCGCGCCGGGGCCGGGCCCGGGGCCGGTGGTCGCCGCCGCCGCCGCCGCCGCCATCGCCGCCGCCATCGCCGCCGGCGTCGCCACACTCAGGACATTGGACGCGAGCAGGGCATCCGGGATGAGAACCGCCACACGGGTGGCCCCCTGGACGGCCTCGCCCTCGGCCACCTGCAGGCGGACCTTGGCCCCGGAGTACAGCCGGAACCATGCGAACCAGTCGACCTGCTCGGCGCAGGTGGGCCCGGCACAGGCGCCGGCCCAGCGGCTCAGCCGGGCCGACTGGTTCAGCCGGCCGCCGGCCGGCGGCATCGGCAAGAACCCCGGCGCCAGCGACCCGCCGGCGGGCCGATCGCCAGCCGGCCGGAGCCCCGGCCGCACGACGAAGTGCGTGGCCGGCGACTGTCCCAGGAACACCAGCTGGTCGCCGACCACCACCGACAAGTCCAGCCACACATGGGGATGGGGCCCGGTGGCTGGGCCGGCGGCCCCGGCCGGGGGCGGCTCGTCGCCCGGGCCCGGCCCGGTCGGCCGCGGGCTGGCCGGCGCCGAGGAGGCCGCCGAGCCGGCCCCGGCCGTTTGGGCCTCCTGCGCGATGGGGTTGGCCAGCCAGGAGATGGCCAGCCCGATGACATTGCTCAGCGCCCAATCGGCCAGGTGCCACTCGCCGCTACCGATGAGCACCTGCCCCGAGAGGGAGGGATTGAACACCGGCAGGTAGGCCATGCCCGAGGGGTCGTGCTCCTCCTGCTCGAATTCCAGCGGCTCGGTGGCCGTGCGATCGGCCAGGCCCTCGATCGGGGCCCGGAGCTCGGCATCCAGCGGGTCGCCCGGGGCCGTGGGCGAGCCGGGCCGCGAGGCGGCCGGCTCCGGGCCCGGGTCCAGCCCGGCCGCCAGCCCCCGGCAAAAGCGCACCCAGTCGGCCGGGCGCGATTCGAAGATCGGCTGACTGAAGCCCGCCCACCCGGCGATGCCCTCGGCCAGGCGGTGGGACTCGGCGCAATCCGGCCGCCGGACCGACAGCGTCACCGGGCGCACGGACGCCAGCCACCGGTTGGCCAGGGCGATGGTGGTGTCTGCCGGGGGGCCGGCGGTGGCGGGACCGCGGCCCGGGGCTGGGGCTGGGGCCGGGCGCCGGGCACCGGGCTCGCCGGGGCCGGTGCCCGCCTCGCCGCCACGCGCCGCCAGCATGTCCGTCAGGCACTCGGACAGGTGCGCGTGCGGCCAGGCCCGCAGGGAGAGCTCCGGCCGCAGCCGCACCAGCAGCCCGCCCGGCTGCAGGATGACACTCGGCATGTCGGCCAGCCGGGGGCGCTCCGCCTGGGGCGAGCTCCGCGAGGAGTCCCGCGGATCCAGCACCAGCTCCAGCACCGGCACCTCCACCCGAGCATCCAGCGAATTGAGCCAAATCAGCGGCCCGGTGGCCGGGGCCTTTGCCGGCCGGGCCGGGGCCGGGGCCGGGGCCGGGGCCGGCATCGCCCCGGGCCCATGCCCGGGGCTTGGGCCCCTGGCCGTGGCTCGATCCGGCGGGCCGCCATGCCGATGGCCGGCCGCCGGCCACAACTCCAAGGAGCTGGCCCCGATGCTGGGCACCGCCAGGGCCATGGGCCGGCCCGCGGGGCCGGGCGACCGGGGCGACCGGGGCGGCGGCGATGGCGGCGGCGATGGCGGCGGCGACCGGGGCGGCGAGACCCCCGGCGAGGTGATCGGGCTGCTGGGCCAGCTGAGGTCGCCCGGGGCCCCGGAGCCGGGGAGGCCACCCCCGGCGGCCGGGCCGGAGACCGGCCGCGAGGTGGCCACACTGACCAGGGTCAGGATGATGCTGACCATGCTGTCGATCATTTCCCGGTGGACAACCACACGCAGGGCACGCGACACATCGACCCGCGCGTGGAGGCTCATGGCCGGGCCACGGCGAAGGGCCGGCCGCGCGGGCTGGCCATCGGCCGTCTGCCAGCCGGGCCCGGCGGGGCCGGCCTCCGGGCACACCGGCTCCAGCTGGCCGCCGGGCCCGGCTCGAGCCAGGACATTCTGCCGGCCGGCCGACTCCGGCAAGTCCGACAGCGGCCCGGGCCGCGCGTGCACCGACACCTTGGCCACCAGCAGCGGCCCGGGCGCGGCGGACCCCTCGCGGATGTACTGATCGCAGCAGTGGTCATGGTCCGGCGGGGCCAGGCCGGCGGCGGCGGCGGCGGCCGGCCGCGGGCGGAACTGCTGCAGCAGGCTGCCACACGGACCACGAGTGCGCCGCGCATGGAGCCCATCGAACTCCCAGCTGACCCCGAGCCGCGGGGCCAGGCGCTGCGTGGAGGAGTCCATCTCCACCGGCAGGCCGCAAGATTGGAGGATTTCCAAGGGGGGCATGGGCTCGAAGGCGGCCGGGTCGGCGCTGGCCCCGGCCACCGGCCGGGTCAGGCGCAGCCGCAGCCGGTGCTGATCGAAGGCCTGGCGCATGAGCGGATCCACCGCCTCGCCGGTCAGGAAGAGCACCGGGTCCGAGGGCCGCAGGACCAGCCACACGCGCGAGGCTCCGAAGAAGAGGTGCGAGTCGTAGCGGCCCCGGGGCCCGGGGGCGGGGGACCCGGGCCCGGCCGACCCGGGGCCCATCCCCGGCCGGGCATCCCCCCCCCCGGCCGGGCAGCCGCCGGTCGCTCGAAAGTGGGCCCAGTCCGGCAGGGCCACCGTCACCCCGGCCAGGCTGATGCGTGCGGACCATTCGTCCGGCACGCTGAGCGTGTCGACCACCTGGTCCTGCGGCGGGAGGGCGCGGTCTTCGAGGGCCGCCGGCTCGGGCCCGGCGCCCGGCTGCACCCCCAGGGCCAGGAGGTCCTCCACCGACAGGCCCAATCGCGGGAGGGTGGCGGCCTGGGGCCCGGGGGCCGGCGGCGGGCCGCGGGCCGGCGGCACACCGGCGCCGCCCCCCCGGTCCCCGGCCGCCGCCGAGTGGTGCTCGGTAGCCTTGGCCATGGCGGCCCGACGCGAGGCGGCCCACATTTCCGCCCGGAGTTGGCGGATTCGGTGGGCCTCGTCCACCAGCTGCTGCGACTCGGCCAGGGCCAGCCGCGGGATGTCCAGCAGCCGGCGCAGGCTGGCCGGGCACAGGCGCACCGACACCGGCGTCCAGGAGTCGCACTCCAGGCTGTAGTGCGACCAGCTGGCGGCCGACCAGCGGATCGGCATGAAGCCGGACACGCTTCGCCGGCCGTGGCCGATGGTCACCGGCAGCTCCAGGGCCAGGCCCCGGCGGTCGAGCGACGAGATCCGCAGGGCCAGCTTGACCCCCGGCGAGCCGCCTCCTTGGGCGTTCTGCGGCAGCGGGCTCCCGGGCCAGTTGCCTGGGCATTCGCCCGAGGGCCCCGAGCGCGCGAGTTCAGGGTGCGGCGGCCGCCGAGCCGAGCACCGGCCGGGCCATGGAGACCGATTGTCAGGCGCTGGACTGGCGGGCGAGGGGCGCGGGGCGCGGGGCGCGGGGCGCGGGGCGCGGGGCGCGGGGGGCTGGCAGACGGCGTGCCGGTCGCCCCCGGCCCCCCTCCCGCGCCGGATGCCGCGCCATGAGCAGGTGTGTTTCGGGGGCGCCTGAGGGCCCAGGCGCCGGGCCGACACGCGGCACGCACCATCTGTCGAGAGGATGAAACTCTCGCCGCCCGCACGCGAGTGCATCTCATTGACATTGGCCGAGCCCAGCATGACCGACATGCTGAGGAAGGAGGTCTCCGAGAGGACGGCCTCGCGGTCGAACTTGGCCAGGTGGCTGCCGGGCTGGGTGGCCGGGACCCCGGGGCCGGCACCGGGCGGAGGCCCCCCGGCCCCGGGGGCCGGCGTCTCGCCCGGGGCCCCGGCCGAGAGGATCCCACCGCCGGCCGGGCGCGGCCGGGCCCCGGCCCACGTCGGCCGGATGGTCGTGTACCAGAGGGCCCGCACGGCGACCATCTTCAGCCGGGCCTCGGCCACATGCTTCTCGGACCTGCTCCCCGGCGGCCATGCAAGCATATGGGCCCGAGCGAGACGCAAGCGAGGCAGGTCCCCCCCCCCCCCCCCCCCCCCCCCCCCCACTCCAGCCCCCCCCCAATCTCGTATCCCCCCCCCCGTATCCCCCGCATCCCCCGCATCCCCCATCGCCCCGCGAACACAGAAGGCCGGCCGGCGTCGAGGAGACAATACAACAGGCTTGAGCGGTCAGAACCAGGGCAGGGCGGGCAGCAGCGGCTCCGGGAGGGGCGCGGGCACGCAGGCGGCCGGGTCGGCCGCCACCTTGGCCAGGACGCACCGCGGGTGCCAGGCCTGCACGGAGATATCCTCCACCAGGAGGCTGATGCCGAACATGGGCCGGCGGATGGCCCCGCCGCGGCCCGGCTCCGCGGCCGGGCGCGACCACTGCAACGGCGCAAAGGGGGCGATCATTTCGTTCTGCTGCCCGGGCGGGACAAACCCACACCCGGGGCAGGGGGCAAAGGGGTCGGCGGCCGAGCGCTCGGCCGCCCGGGCGTGCTCCGTGCAGAAGCCCACCAGGCCGCGCTGGCCGCCGGCTCCGGCCGTGGCATTGCGCAGGATCTCCACCAGGGCCTCCCGGGCCAGGGCAAACTCCCCGACCGCTTGGCGCTCATCGCGCGCATTCCCATCGAAGCCCGGGGCCGCGCGCCCGGCCAGCCCATCGTCCGACAGGGCCCGCGGGCCGAAGGCGATGTCGGCCGGCCGGCGGTGGAGCTCCGGCAGCCCGGCCAGTCGCTGGGCCCGCAGCCAGTATGCCTGGCGGATGTCGGCCTCCAGCGGCGGCGACTGGGCCCGGGGGAGGGGGCCACCGGCGGCCGGGGCCTCCCCCCCCGGCGGCGATGGCGGCCGCCCGTCCGGCGACCGGGTGTGCCGGTGTCGGCGGGTGTCGGCCCCGGCACACGGCCCCGGGTCCCCGGCCAGGGCGGCCGCATCGTCATGCAGCCGCTCCAACTCCTGGCTGAAGTCCCGGGCCGCGATGCCGGGCCCGGGCCGCAACAAAGCCGGGGACTTGGCCCCGGCAGCCGGGTCGGCCTTGTCCTCGGCCGCCATGGCGGCGGCCACCACGTCGGCCAGGGGCACCGGCCGGCGCCGGCCCGGGAGCCTTTGCGCCGGCTTCACGGCCGCCAAGCCGGCATCCGGCTCGCGATTAATCCAGAAGGCAATCTCCCGGGCCGGGGCCGGCGGGGTGGCCCCGGGCCGACGTCCAGCCGGCGGCCCGGGCCGGTCGGGCATCGGCCCCGGCGGCTGGGCCCCCGGCGAGGGGCCGAGCCCGGCCGGTCCAAGCCCCGGCGGCTGGGCAGACACCCCCCCGGGGGGGGACCGGCCCCAGGCCGGGGGGCTGCCGCCCGGGAGAACCGGCCGCCCGGCCAGCTCCAGCAGGCTGGCACTGGCGGTGATGCCCTGCTCGCCGATGGCCGGGGCAAGGAGCCCGTCCGAGTCGCTGGCCGATCGACTGGCCGGCGGGGGGGACACCGACCCCGGGGGCGCGGCGGCCCCGGCCGGCAGGCCGCCCCCCCGGGTGCCGGGTGTCTCGGCCCCGGGGGCGGCCTGCAGGAGGTCCTCCAGGGTGTCGGACTCGAACAGCGGGTCCGCCTGGTCGAGGATGGCCCGCAGCCGGCCGGCCGGTTGCCGGGGCCCGGCCGTGCGGCCAAGCCCCGGCCCCGGCGGCAGGACCTGCTCCTCCAGGGGGACATTCAGACCGTGGGCCAGCTGCTGCTGACGCAGATACTGCCGCAGGGCCAGCGGGTCCTCCAGGTCCGGCGGGGTGACATCCGGCGGGGACACGCACCCCGGCGACCGGGCCCCCGTGGGATCCGGGCTGCCCTGCAGCCCGGAATACCACGACCCGGGCGACAGGCCATGCCCCTCGTCACCGGCATCCCCGGGGCCCGGGCCACCGGCGGCGCACCCGGCCCCCAGGCGCTCGCTCAGCCAGGGGACCGTCCGGCGGATGTCCTGGCAGGCGGCGCACGCGCTCTCCAGGAAGCCGCTGAGGCTGCAGAAGAAGGCCTCCTCGAAGGCGGCGTCCGGCTGGGGCGCCTTGGTCGGCGGTCCGGCCGGCGGGGCCGCCGCCCCGGGCCCGGGGCCCATCGAGCCGGCCGGGGCCGTGTCGCCCGGCGCAAAGCCGCCGGCCGCCAGGGCCAACGTCGGCGAGGGGGGCTCCTGCCCGGCCAGGTCGCCGCTGGCATTGAGGATCTGCCGGAGGGAGTCGGCCACGCGAATGCACGAGGCAATGGTGGCCGGGGACAGGTGGAACACCAGGCGCTGGCCCTTGCCCGAGGGGGCCACTCGGTCGGCCTCGCCCGGGGGGCCCGGGCTCCGCATGGCCGCCGGGGTCATCGGCACGCCCGGTCCCGGGCCCACGGCCGGGGCGGCGCCGGTCGAGCCGGGCCCCGGGGCCGGTGCCGTCCGCGGCCCGGTCGCGGCCGACGCCGTCCGCGCGAAGAGGCTCTCCCGCACATTGGCCGGCAGCTTGGCGATCTGCTCCGGCGTCAGGGGGATCGATTGGATGGGGGACACCGGGATCGGCGAGGCGCGCACCGACTCCGACAGGAGTCCGGGCAGGCTCGGGGCCATGTGCGCATCGGCCGGCACCACCGGGTGCGATTGGCCCAGCAGCGACAGCGACACAAAGATCCCCGGCGACCGGGCGAAGATGTGCGGCGGCGGCGGCACCCAGCCCGGGCGCTCAAGCTGCTGCCCAAGCGGGCCGCGGGGGTCTTCCTCGCCCGGGCCGGGCTTGGCGGGCGGAGTGACCCCGGCCTCGGCCTCGGCCTCGGGGGCGGCCCACCCATCGGGCCCCGGCGGGTGACCGGAGGCCGGGCCTGGCGGGCCATGCACGGTGGCCGCCTCGGAGTCGAGCACCCCGACGCGGGACATCCGGGCCAGGTTCTGCGTGGTGATGCTTTGCCCCGGGCGCGGTTGGCCATAATCCAGGAAGGCCTTCGTGAGGGGCGGCTGCTCGAAGAGCACGCAGCTGATGGAGATTTCCAGGCGCTGTCCCGGGACGGATTTGCCAACCGGCCGCAGGGCCCCGGTCGGGTGAGGGGGGCATCCAGGTCAGCTCATCTGGCAGGCAGGCCGGGCCCACAGGCCGGCATCCCCGGCAACAGCGACACCTGCCCGGCACCTGGCACCTGGCAATGGGCCGTGCGAAGCCCTCCGCCAGGGAGACCCTGCGCCCTCCTGGCCCTCGCCTCGCCCTCGGCTCATTGTACATGCACAAACACACAGACAGACAGACAGACAGACAGACAGACAGACAGACAAGCAGGATGACAGCGCACCACACAGGGGACAAAGCCAAAAAGCACGGTCTTCGACCGGGCCCCGGCGCCGGGGCCGGAGCTGATGCCGGCACTGGCGGCCGGCCCCGGCACCGGGGCCGGAGCCGGGGCCGGGGCCGGGGCCAGCCCGCCCCCGGGGAAGGTGATGCGCGGCTCGCCCGGCAGGACGAAGAGCGTGCGCAAGGCCCGCCGCGAACAGGGCGACAGGTAGACCAGCGAGTTGAGGATGTCCAGGCGATAGGTGTCATAGAAGAGCGGCCACAGGACATGGCGGATGAAGTCCATCGGCAGGCTGGCCAAGCCGTCGGTGGCACTCAACGGCCGCTGGTGGGCCCCCTGGTCCACCAGGCGCTGGAGGCCCTGCTGCAGGAGGATGGTCGAGTACAGTGGCGGCGGCAGGTGCAGGCGCAGGGCATCGCCGATCTTCCCCCGGGCACAGGCGGTGGTGGAAATGCGCACGGTGTCCGGCGCCAGGAGAATGACCGGCGTATGGTGCAGCACCGAGTACTCGGTGGGGAAGGCGATGATCGGGCTGTCCAACGCCTCAAGGGTCACATGGATGACGTTCGGGAAGACCTTCACCGAGTACAGGGACCCGAGGGAGCGCTGCGGCACGGGGGCAGCGAGCAAGCGCGAGCCCGAGCGGTCGAAGGACGCCGGGGGGTGGGCCGGCCAGCGGCGTCGGGGGTTTTGGAGGGCATGGCGTCGTGCGCGCACGAGCACGAGAACACATGAGCGTGTGTACAGGGGAGGCGGGGAGGGGGGGGGGGGCGAGAGACAGAGAGAGGGGGCGAAATGAGGGAACCAACAGGCACGGGACACATGGCACAAGGATGGGGGCAGGCAAAAGGGCATGGAGGCGGGCGCGGATGCCCGGGACCCGAGACCGGCGCCGAGGGGCCAGGTCGCGGCCCCGTGCCAAGAGGGGGCCCGGCATGGTGTTGGCAGTCAGTCAGTCAGTCAGTCGGTTCGAAGGCAGCCAAAGACACTGGCACATGCTCGGGCCCCCGGGGGCACTTGGGCATTTCACCACGGCACGCACATAGACCGCGTCATCGGCGATCAGGAAGAAGGCGATGATGGCATTGACCACCTCGTGGCGGATGAGCAACCGAGCGCCGGAGGCCGACACCTGGACCCACTGCGACCCGGCGGCCAGCTCATAGTCACTGCGGTCCCACTCATCCAGCACGCCCCAGGCATCGCGACGGTCGGCCTCCAGGTGCTGCCCGGGCGGGGCACTGGCATAATCCTCGGCCAGGGGCTCGGCCGCGAAGAGGCGCGCATGGCCGCCCCCGGCCCGGGGAGTCCGCGGCCCGGTGGCCGACCCGGGCTGCGAAGCCGAGGAGGCAGGCCCGGAAGAGGGCGACACCGGGGTCGGCCCGGTGCCCACGAAGGACCCCGGCCGGAGGTGCCCATACGCCGCCGGGCCATCGTCCCCCAGGGACCGGAGCTGCCCGAGCAGGCCGCCATCCGACAGGATCGAGCTTTGCAAGATGCTCAGCACCTGACGCATGAGGGCCGTGGTGTCGGTGGTGTAGCCAGCCACGCGGCCCATGAGCCCCGGGAAGCGGAAGGCCATCTTCAGCAGGGCGGTTTTGCTGAGCTTCTGGGACCGGGCCAGGACCATGTTGACGGCCGCGCGAATGGGCTCCACCAGGGCCCGGCGCATGGCGCTGGCCAGCATGCCCTCTTGCTCCAGGGACTGCTCGATGGCCTCGCTTTGCAGGCGGTACCACTCGATCAGGTCCGGCGGCAGGGCCGACGACGGCCCGGGGGTGACGTGCGCCGTCGGCACGAAGCTCATGTGGTAGCGGACCTTCAGCGGGTGGTCCATGCTCAGGGTGGTCAGCCCGAGCCAGCTACACTGGCTGGCATCGGCCCCGGCGGCCCCGGGCAGGGTGCCGCTGCCGCTGCCCACGCGAGCCGCCCCCGGCGGCGGGGTCCCCGTCAAGCGAGACATATCCTCGCCGGGCTGGCGGCCGCCCACCACGAAGAAGGGCACCGGCTCGCGCTGGTCCGCGGAGATCCTGGCCGCCAGGCCGGCCTGCTGGGCGGGCAGCGGCCCGTGCGCCGGTTCTCGGCGTGCGGCTCCCCGCGTGTCGGTGATCGAAATTTTCTGCCCTCCCCCATGTCCGGCCGCCGGCCAGGGTCACATGCAGCATGTCGCGCATCGTCGCCGCCGACGCCACACCGGGACCCAGTGGCCAGGCCGAGCAGTGGCGATGCCCCGGGGGGGGGGGGGGGAACCGGGCCGCGAGGATCGCGCGAAGAAAGAAGGAAGGAGCAAGGGGGGGAAAGGCGGAACACGGTCAGCGGCGTCCGGGAGGGCATTCGGCCGGGGGGGGGGGCACGGTGGCGGCGGCGGCGGCAGCGACGGCGGTGGCCCACGGCCAGGGGCCCGCACAGGCGGGGCAGCCCGCAAGAGCCCCGGACGCCGGGGGAAACAACCGCTCCCGGGACGCACCTCGCACGAGGCACTGATGACGATGCCGGAATTCCGGATGACCACCGACAGACGGACATCCACCGTGCGGATGGTCATGGCCGGGTACTTGGCCGACCGGCCGAGCAGCTCGACCACGCCCCAGGGCGCGGCCGCGGGCCCGGCAGCCGTCGGCCCGGCGGGCGCTTGGAGCAAGCCACGGGTCGGGGAATCGCGCACGATGCACGACCCGGCATGGCGCCGGGCCCAGGACTCCTCGCCGGGGATGTACTCGCGGCCGGGCACAAAGCCGGCAGCCACCACCTCGATGCGCGCGGCCAGGAACCCATCGAAGCGGAAGCGCCGCGGGATGACGCCCCCCCCGCCGCCATAGGTCAGGGCCAGGGGGCTGTTGCCGGAGTGGGGCAGGTGCTCCGGCGGGGCGGACCCATCGGCCGGGAGGGCCCCATCGGCGCACTCGGCCAGCCAGGCGCGCACGTGCTCGCGCATGGCGGCCACCGCGGCCATCGGGTCGCCGGCCGGGCGTCGGGCCAGCTCCGCCCGCACGGCCTGCACCGAGAGGGTGGCCGTGCCGGGGCTGTGCGAGGCCATGCCGAAGATGGGCCGGAAGTTGCCGGCCTCGGTGCCCGGCATCTCCCGGTACAGCATGGCCGTCAGCATGCGATACAGGGCCCACAGTCGGAAGAGGATGACGTCGCCCTGGCTGAGCTCCAGCTCCAGCAGGCCCAGCTCCTCCTCCAGGGTCTTGCCCGGCACCGGGACCGCTGGCCGGAAGACATTCACCGTCATGGTCGGCACCCGTTGGAAGGTCAGGGTGGCGTAGAGGCGGACATAGCGCAGGCGCAGGGCCCGGCGCCGGGACAGGGCCCACGGCGACCAGGCGAACCCCTCGCGCGGCCGGGGCTCCGGCTCGACATCCACCGGGGCCATGACCGGCGGGACGGGCGGGCCGGCGGCCGGCCGGCCGGGCGCCGGCGGGGTCCGGGTCCCGGACTCCACCCCGCCCGGGGTGTGGTCCACGGCCCGGGCCACCCGGGCCGCCGCCTCCCCGGCCGCCGGCGTATACCGCGAAGCCAGGAGCTGCCACAGGAAGGTCGGGTCGGCCCGAGCACCGGGGGCCGCCAAGTCCCCCGGCCCGGAGCTCAGGGTCCCGGAGGCCGACTCGGACAGCGGGGTGATCCGGCCGGAGGGGCCGCCGGCCGAGGCAGTCCCCGCGGCCGCCGCCGCCGCCGCCGCCGCCCCCTGGGGGGGAGTCTGGCTGCCGGGGCCCGGGTCGGCCACCGGCGGCGGGGTGGCGGTCCCGGGGACCGGGCCGGCCGCCGGGCCGGGCTCCGCGCCGGTGGTCGACTTGGCCGCCGAGCGCCAGCCAATTTGCTGCAGCCGACGCTGCAGCCGGGACATCGGCGACTCGGGCGGCTGGCCGGTGGTCGGGTCCTTGCGCGGCCCGGCCGCCGGCGGCCCCGGCGAGGCGAAGGCCTGCAGCAGGGACCGCCGGCGCCGGCGCCGGTCCGGGCTGGCCGGCGAGGCCCGGCTCCGGGCCTCCCCCCCGGGGGGGGTGATCTCCAGGTCGCCCGCGGCGAGGCTCAGCCCGCGGCGTTCGGCCAGCGTGCTGCGCGAGGAGGCCGGCTCGTGCCCGGCCGAGGGGGCCGGGCCCGGCTGCTCGGCGGCCAGCCCGGCCGGCGGCTCCTCCTCCTCCTCCTCCTCCTCGTAGCCCGGGTGCCGGCTCACCTCCGACATGTATAGCAGGAATTCATCGCGGTTGTTGGCCCCGATGACCGTGGCCAGGCTGTAGTAGTCCTCGGCCGGGGCCTCGGCCGCCGGCGCGGCCGGGGGGGTCCTGTCGCCGGGGGCCAGGCCGGCCGCCGGCACATCGCCCGGCGGGGCGGCGCCCCCCGCCGGCCCGGCCGCCAGGGACATGGCCGCCGGTCGGGGCGGCCCGATGCCGGTGGTCGTTTCGACAGCCACCTGGCGCGGGGGCCAGCCCACCGGCGCCAGGGTGGCCTCGAGCACGCGCTTCGGCAGGGCATCCCCGAAGTACGGCCGGGGCAGCCCCGGCAGGAAGAGCCGGTTCATGGCGTACACCTGCCGGCGGCTGAGCCGGGCCGCCACCCGCGGCAGCACCAGCCCCACATCCACCACCGGGTCCATGTCGCCGCTGGGCCGCAACGCCCCCCGGACCAGGGGGAAGCGGAACATCAGCCGACAGTATGCCTGGCCGGCGGCCTGCACCAGGCAGTGCGGGCCGAGGCGCTCCGGGCGCAGGGTCCCGGCCGGCAGGCTGTCCGGGCCCGGGCCCGGCTCCGGCGCCTCGGCCGCCGACAGCCCCCCGGGCAGGGTCCCGAGGAGCTCGCGGCGCAGGTCCACCGCTCGCGGCAGCAGCGACCTTGCCAGCAGATCCCGGCGCCGGGAAACCCGGCTCAGAGAGGACAGCAGGGCCAGCGGGTCGCTGGTGGCCGCCGCGGTCGCGGTGGCCGCCGCGGCCAGGCCCTGGCCGGGCGCCGCCGGCATGCCCGGGCCCCGGGCCGCCGGGGCATCGCGCCCGGCGCCCCCGCCATGACCATGCGCCGGCCCGGCCAGACGCTCCCACCACCGCCACTGCGGGACCAGGCCGGCGGTGTCCCGGCCAAGGAGCTCCCGCAGCGGCAGCACATTGGCATGGATGCTGACACCCCGGCGCGCGGTCAGCGGAATGTCGATGACGATCGGCGTCGTCCGGCTGGCCACCCAGGGCTGCACGAAGTCCCACACGTCCTTGATGCCGGTGGCCCACTCGCTGTCCCAGAATTGGCTGAGCCCCTGCCCCGGGAGGCTGAGCATGGCCGCCACCGGGCCGCCCAGCAGGGCGCCCACATCGGCGCCCAGCAGCCCGGCCAGGCCACCGCCGAGGCCCGGGCCGGCCGGGTCGGGCCCCTCGTCGCCGGCCGGCCCGGGCCGCCCCCCCAGCAGGTCGCCCATGGCGGCCAGGATGTGGGCCTCCGGGCGGCCGGCCGACGCGTCGGGCCGCGCCTCGGGCCGCGCCTCGGGCCCGGCCGGCCCGTCGGCCCCCCCCGACGGGCCGCCATCCTGCTCGGCGCCGGTATCCTCCTCCTCGTCATGGTCGTCCTCCTCGTCGGACAGCTCACCGCGCCCATGCAGCCGGGCATAGGTGTCGGTGTCGGCCAGACGCTCCAGCTCCACATGCCGGGCCACCAGGGCCACGCAGGTGACATCGCCCCGGACCCGGCGCAGGATCTGCTGCGTGGCGGCGCGCCGGCGCGGCCCCCCGCGCCCGGGCCCATGCACCGATGGCCCGGGCTCGGGCATGTCGCCGGCCGGCGAGCCGGACCCCGGGTAGGCCACCCCGGGCCCGGGCGGGTGGTGGTGCGCGCTCCGGCGGAAGGCCGGGGTGTAGCGCCCCGGCGCCGGGCCGGCCGCCGCCATCGACGCATCCACCAGGAAGATCTCCACATCGCGGCAGGTGACATGGAGCCGGGGCACCAGCCAGTCCAGCGCCCAGCGGACCACCCCCAGCATGCCGGTCTCGCCCTTGCCGGTGGGGACCATGCCGGCCGCCGGGGCCAGGTCCACGCCGGGCACCTCGTCCAGGTCGAAGAGCAGCTTCCCATCGACCGAGCCGCGGGCCAAATTCAGCCACTGCAGCGGGCTGACCCCCCGGCGGAAGATCGACCGCAGGCCGCGCTCGAAGAGCAGGAGCTGGCTCTGCCGGACGAGCACCTGCCGCGCGGCCCCGAGGCGCGGGTCATACCGGACCGCGGCCCGGACTTCGCGGATGGCCACATCGATGCGCGGCGGGAAGAGCCGCACAAAGGCATGGGCCCCCAGCAGGCCGGTGTCCGCCTGGTCCTCGTACACCTGGCCCGGGTCCATGTCGGCGGCCGAGTCCTCCGCCTCAAAGAGAAAGGGCAACTGCGCCAGGTCCCACAGCAGGTCGCTGCGCAGGGCGGCCCCGGACACGAAGAGCTCCAGCCCGAAGCCCGGCAGGTGGCGCTCGCCCGGGTGCTCCTGCGACGCGTCCGACGGCCAGGCGGCCGGGTCGGCCTGGCGGTGCCACCCGCGCGCCGGGGCCCGCAGGGTCACGCCATCCGTGCACAGCCGCGCCCGGATGTCCACCGGCCGGGGCTGGCCCTCGCCCAGCAGCCAAAAGAGCGCCAAGCGCAGCAGCACCGACAGGATGGAGCTCAGCCAGGAGGGATCGGCCGTCGGGTCGCCGAGCCCGGCCTCGGCCATCAGCGAGCCGAGGGGGTCGGCCGGCCCGGGGGCCTGGCCGGGGGCCGGGGCGCCGGGCCCGGCGGCCGTGGCTCCGGGCCACCGCGACGCCGCGGCCGGCACCCCGCCCAGGGCCGTCAGTCGGAAGACCGCCACCGTGAATACCAGCACCAGCGCCACGCACAGGGTCGACAGCCAGAGGACCAGGGCGCCGGGGCCGGGCCCCGGGCCGAGGCTGGCCCCGGCGCCCGGCACAAGCCCCGCACCGGCCGCCGCCGGCCCCAGAAGCAGGAGCCCCGGCGACAGGAACGTCACCCGCGGGGCGGCCGGCGAGGCCCTCGGCGGGGGGGCCGGCGCGGGAGCCGGCTCGGCCGGCGGCGCCCGCGCATGGGCCTCCAGCAAATCCGCCAACATTTGCCGCCGGCGGAGGGCCAGGAAAAGGTCAAGTACTTGGGGGCTGTGCCCGGTCGGTGCCGGGGACAGGTCCACCTCCGGGTGCGTGCCATCGCCAAAGCGCCGGAGCAGGTCCTCCACATCGGCCGCGCGAAGGCCCGGGTCCGAGGGCCCGGACAAGGTGTCCCCAGATGCCGGGCCCATGACCGCGGTCGTCGAGGAGGCCGTCAGGGCCGTGTGCGAGGAGGTGATCACCGGGCCGGCTGTGCTGGTCGTGGCCACCGACGCCTGGTGCTCGCCATCGTCAGGCATGCTTCCTTCGCCCGGCCGGCCCGGCTGTCTATCGGCAGGGGGTCCGGTCGCGAGGCTCGGTCGCCCGGTGCCGAAAAGGGATGGAAGGCTACGCGCCGGTGGCTCCTTTCGTGTTGGGGTGCGAGTGTCGAGGTGCGCGACGGCTGGCGCCCAATGACAGGGGGAACAACCGGCCCGTCGGTGGCCCAATCGCGGTGGGGGGGGTGCCTCCCGAGAGCTGCCGATTCGTGCAAGGCCAAAGACCAACTCGCGAGCCAACAAGCAGAGAAGAGGAAAGGAGAGGAGCGAGAGACGCGGACAAGTTCGGAGAGAATGTGTGTGTGTGTGTGTGTGCGTTTGTGTGTGTGCGTGGATGTGATGGCCACCACCGTGCTCGGCTGGCGATGAGGCCGGCGAAAAAGTCACCCAATCGCGCAACACGGGGGACGCAACCGCCAGAGGCGCCCCTAGGCAGCACATTCCTCGGGAGGCGGCCGGAGTATCCTCGGGGAGGGGGACCCCGGTGTTGACGCGCACGCAAAGAGCCCCTGGGTCTCCGCCGGGGCCCGGGCCGGCCGATCAACACCCCTCTCCCTGCCCTTGCCGATCCAGGGAGCGGAGGCCACGTCCGGCGATCTTAAAAGCCCAAGTTAAGGGAGCCGTAACCGAAGGCGCGCCGCGGGGCGCCAAGTACCAGGCCATGTCCCCTGCTCAGGGACACCAACTAAGTATTAGATGATGCACAGTTGGCGCGATAACAATGGCGGCACGTGGCGACGTTCTCACGTGACAGATTAGGCCGCGTGTAACTGATAAGCCTTTTCAACCTCGCCCTTCCCGCCGCCTGCTCCCCCCCCCCCCGGAGCCCGTGTCTGTGTGTCTGTGTCCATGGTGAGAGCATGCTGCCGCGAGCATCACTCTTTTTGTACGCGCACACACACACACACACACATACACATACACATACACATACACATACAGAACGCCCCGGTTCCCGGCCACCCTGTCCTCAGCATGGTCAGTTGACAGCACGGCGTGGCGAAAAATCCGCCCAGGCATGGAGCTGCGGGCCACATCTCGCGAGAGAAGCTGGCAACGAAAATGCGGCCTTCGGTCGAAGGAATAAACACGGCTGGGCAAATGTGAGGCATGTGTAAATATATAAATATATTGGGCTAATCGCCCCTGAGAACAAAAATGACACGGAATGCCATGAAAAAGAGGACCCACGGGGAAAGAACCACAAGGCCAGTGCCTTTTCGCTTGCCCCATCCCTGGGGGGGGGGAGGAGCCCCCATCTAAACAAGGGGAGGGGAGAAGGACAAGGCGACCGGGTGAAAGGGGAAGGGGCGGAAGATCTCAGGAGGACAAGAGAACGAGGGGGGGGGAGAGAGAGACAGAGAGACAGAGAGGGAGAGGGGGGAGGAAAGAGAGAAACACAAGGACCAAGGGGCTCGCATCCCTGGCGGCGCGCCAAAGAAGGGAAGGCAGGCGGGGCTCCGCAACGGGACACGGCCGGAAAGAGGATAGAGAGAGAGGGAGAGAGGGAGAGAGGGAGGGAGAGAGGGAGAGAGGGAGAGAGCATGTGGGGGAGGGTGCGCAAGCCGGCGCCCGGCACGTCGATGGAGGAGAAGGAGGAGAGGCCACGCTCAGCAGGCAGGGCGTTGCCGAAGACCGGACTCCACCTCGTCCGCCGACGGGCTGGCCAGGTAGAGCTCGCGCAGGCGCAGCCAAGATGCCCGATGCACCAGCTCCCCGAGCGGCATGTCCAAACGCATGTCGAAGAGGAATTGCAGGTCGGTCATTTGGCCATACTGGCCGAGGAAGGCCCGGCCGGCCGTGTGCATGAGCGCCCGGTGGGCCTGCATCCGGCGCCGGTCCACCCGCAGGGCCGAGTGATCGAAGGTGTCCACCAGGATGTTGTACAGGCACTTGTTGGCCGCGGCTTCCAAGTGCGCTTGGGCCTCGGCCGGCCCGTCGACCGGGTGCTGGTGATCGGCCGCCGCCTCGGCGGCTGCCCGTTCGAGCCGCCGCTGGCGCTGCTCCTGCCAGCTCGCCGGCCGCAAGGGCCCCAACAGGGTGTCCATCTTGGCCGCGGCATCTGCCCCGGCCGGGCCCCCGGCCCCGGCCCCGGCCCCGGCCCCGGCCCCGAACGGGTCCATGTCCGGGGTGAAGTCAAACAGGCGCTCGATGTTTTCCGCCACCGAGGCGTCCAGCTGCGGCCCCGGCGCCAGGAAGGGGCTGGCCGCCTGCTCGCCGCGGAGTTCGGCCAAGCGCAGGCGATGTCGCTCCGGGGCCAGATCCCCCAGAAGCCGGCTGTTGTGCCGATGCAGCTCCCTCGATGTGGGGGCCAGTCGGGCAGCGAGGTCGGCCGCCAGGATCACCGGCAGCTGGCCCGGCCTCTGAGGCAAGGCCCCCGACTCGCCGGTCGTCGCGTCGACCTCCACACACCGGTCCCCTTCCAGGGTGAAGGTCGGCCCGACACTGGCCCCCAGCTGGACCACTGGCCGATGCCCGGCGATGTAGGACAGGATGGGCGAGCGCTCGGCCGGGGCCTGCCACTCGGCCGGCGCACCTGCTCGGGACCCCTGCTGCCGGCTCGCCGACCGGAGGAACCCCTCGCGCGTGCGCTCGGCCAGCTGGCTCAACGCGGCGGCCAGCTCGGCCGGCGACTCGGCCATCGCCTCGGCCACCGCGGCTCGGGCCCTCTCCACGTCCGGGTCCCGGGGCAGGGTGGCCCGCGCGCGGGTGGCCGGAAACTCGCCCGGTGACGGCGACCGCGGGGGCGGCACTGGGGCCGGCGATGACGCCGACGGCGGCAGGACCGACACGGCGGCCACATCATCCGCGTGGGCCGGCGGCTCGGGGGCCGCCGCCACCGGTGACGGCGGTGCCGCCTTCGGCTTGGCACTCGGCTCGCGCGAGTCGGGATACATGTCGGAGAAGGCCCGCAGGATGCGCTCCTGCTTCGGGTGCAGGCTGGGGAAGGTGGATGCAGGGGTCGCCAGATCATCGGGGCCGAGCGGCCGCCGACGCCGATAATGGGCCTTCCTCTGCCGGCCGGTTGCCAGGGGGGCCGCCATGTTGGCCGACGCGCCGGCCGACGCCGCCGGCTCGACTGCCGGAGCCTGAGGCCCACCCGGCGACTGGCCATGGTTGGACACGACAAATTGGTCGCACGCGATGGCCAGCAACATGGCGTACGTCTCGTGGCTCAGGCCGCGGAAGCGCTCCGGCTCCAGGATCATGGCCAGTGCCACGGCCGACAGGTACTCATTGTCAAAGTGACCCGGGTCCCCGGCATCCTTGTCACTGTCATCAGTGTGATCCCCATGGCCGGTGGCCCCGGGCCCCGGGGAGCCATGCCGGACCCCGGGCCCGGGATACCCCACAAAGAGCAGCGGCATGCCACCGGATGACCGCCGGACCGCCGGCGTGGTGAAGTCCTCGCTGCGGGTGGCCCGGCGCCGGGTAATGCACCGGTGACAGGGGCACGGCAAGTCCGGCAGATGGTCCGCCCGGAAGAAGTCACTGACCACCAGGTACGAGGCCAGGGCCATGCCACCATGGAGTTGGGCCCCGCCGGCCCCCTGGCGCAGGGACAAACGCTGGGATATGTCCTCGAAGCCGGCCAGACGGAGGAACCACTCATCCAGGTCGCGTGCCGACAGGTTGAAGAGCGACGTGGCCCCGAGGGTCGGCGAGCGGAAGAGCTCCGGCGCCGTGTCCAGCATCCCCAACACCGACCGGAGGAAATCCCCCGGCGCCAGGGTGACGCCAATCATCGGCATGCCGGAGTACGACCGGGCCCGGCGCAAACGCGACACCTGGCGAATGGATGGCCGATCGAAGGGCGACTCCCCGAGGGGCGCCCGGTCCAGGCGGAAGGTGGCCAACAGGTGCCGCAGCGGCGCGAGGAAGGCGAAAGGGCCAAATGCAGCGGCGGTGGTGAAAGGCCCGGCCGTGTCCGGCACCCGGGCCCGCCGGGGTTTCGAGGAGCCAGACGAGTCGCCCGAGCGACCCGCGCCCCGGGTCGACTGGCCCTGCTCACCGGTCGAAGGCGATGCCAGGGGGGAAGACCCATCATGCGGGCGTTGAGCCTGGCCGGGACGCCGGGTCCGCGCGGTTTTGGCATTCTGCCTGGACTTACTGTGGGACAGGGCCGACGGCGGCGGCAGAGGAAAGGCCTGGCGGTGAAGCAGATACCAGTCCTCCAGGGCCCGGTCAAAAAGGTCCCGGCCGCCGGGGGTCGAGTGCAAGAAGTGATTCAGCTGCGAGAGGGAGAGCAGGCCACGTGGAGACCACGCCGGCGGGACGGCCGCCAAAACCAGGCGACTATACAGATAAACCACCTGCGGCAGGGGGAGCTCCGTCTCGGCCACCACATCCAGCACGGACATCGAGGCCAGGTCGCGCCCGGCCGGCAGCCAGCGCTGCTCCGGCGAGTGGTGCAGGGCCACCGGCTCCAGGCCGATGTCCACCAGGAAGCGCTGCATTTGCTCCGGCGTCCAGGTGAAGATCCCGGCCTCGACCACGGCCGGTGGCGGGGTGAACTGCCCGGCCGCCGTGGCCCGGCCGCCGACCCCACTGGCACTGGGATCGTGCGAGGCCTCATTCGGCGCTCGGCGCGATGGCACCGCCGATGGCCGGGGGTTGATCACCTCGAAGAGGGATCGAAAGTAGGAGGAGGTCGACTGCTGGAGGGAAACCGGCTTCCCGGCGGTCAAGACCGCCTCCAAGGGGACCACCCCGCGGTCCATCTGCTCGATGAAGGCGAAGGACTCCGACAGGGACTCCGACAGCTGCTGGTGCAGAGCCGGCTCCTCGGCCAGGTGACCGACCGAGGGCATGGACCCGAGATTGAAGTTCTGCACCAGAACACGGCGCTCCGACGGCGAGAGGGTATCTACATGGGGCCGACAGCCGGCGGGGAGGGAAACGGAGAAGCACAGAGGGAAGGGCGAGAGGACACGGCCAAATTGACGGTCAGCGAGGGAAGGAAGGGAGGAGCATCGGCGCCCGAGGGAGGAGAGCCCGGGGGCCCGGGGGCGCACCCAGTGACGCGCGAGTGAGCTCCGCGCGCTGGATGCGCTGCGACGTGAAGGAAAGGACCCGGCTTCGGGAGAGGCGATCTGCCGCCACCAGGAGGTTGGACAGCTCGTGCAGCCGCGCCGAATAGAGCAACCCCATAATTTCCGGGTCCAGCTTTCGCAGGCCCGCCGGATCATGGAACCCCAACAACATGTCGGCATCCAGGTGCCAGGTGTCCAGCAATGGCCGGATGGACTCCATCAGCTGGTTCAGCTGGGCCGGGTGGAAAGGGGCCACATCTTGGAGCTGGGCCGCCAGCTGGGCTCGCCGGGATCGGGTGACGTCTGTCGGGAAGGGCGGCACGTCGGCATCCGGATCGGCGCCACTCCCGGAGCTGGGCCCGGCCCGTGATGAGGCCCCCTTGCCCGGGGAGGACTTGGAAGCCGCGGGAGCACCGGCATCCAGTGTCGATGGCAGCAAGCCAAAAGACCGAAGCAAGTCCGGCGGCAGGGTCATGATGTCGCGCATGGGAGATGGCAGGGCCGGCGTCAGGGGAATGAAGCGCAGCTCCGGGGGCTCGTTGGAAGTGCCCCCATTTCCGAAGGACCAGTCCTTCGCCAGCGAGGAGACGATGAGCGGCGAGTGCACAAGGTGTGACAGGTGGTCGGCCAAGCCGCGGCTCAGATTCGACGAGTCCAAGAGGAAGGGATTTGTCCGATTGGGGAAAGACCGTGCCTCGCACACCATGTCCAGTGTGGAGAGGATCTTTGGCCCGTCGATCAAGTTGACTGCGGGCCGATGAGGCACAGCGTGCCGGCACGAACAGACGGACAGCCATTGCGAGGGGGAGGAGGTGTCAGAGAGCGGGCCAGACAGGGGAATATGGAGGGGGGGGGGGGGGGTGGAGGGGGGCGGGGGAATCGCATGGGTTTTTGCCTGTTCTCCACCCTGCCCCAAGAACAGGGCGCAGAAATGAACGAACCTTTCTTGGGGTGATCATGAACCGTGACAATGTCGTGGTAGGAAAAGCGGACATCCTTCTGACGGGAGGAGGCCCCTTGCCGAGCGGGCTCCAGGTCGGACTGGATCTTGTTCCCGGTCAGGGTGATGTCGCGAATGGTGGTGTCCGAGAGGCCGGCCGTCATGAAGTGCGAGTCCATGGAGAAGGTGATGCGGTTGTCTGCGGTGTGCAACAAGTGTCAGCCATTCCAACAGGAGGGAGATCACGGGAAGGGGGAAGCAGGGGGGGGGGGGGCACAAGTAAAGAGAGGCGCATCGAGCAAGCAAAACGCACGGGACACATCCAGGTACTTCAGGTTGCCGGGGCTCTTGCCCAGCTGGAAGAGCGAGGAGAGCCCCATCGAGGTGATCAAGTTATCTGGTGGTAGAGGGGGAGGAGGAGGCAGGTGGTCAGTCGAGCGCCCCACCAGGAGGGTGTGCTGCGTCCGGCGTAAGGGCGACATACTTGGCAGGCGGAGGTGCCGCAACTGCGGGCCAACCGAACGCGAAATGACCGACACGCTGCCATCGGTCAGCTGGCAGTCTGACGAGAGTGGTCAGGAAAAAAGTCAAAAGGTCACATTGGCAGCGGCAAAGGGGGAGGCGAGGGGCGGGGGGGGGAGCAGGCCGAGAGGAGGCACTCATCGTGGAGGGGCTGGCGTACTGGCGATGTTCAGTTCGATGAGCTGCCGGGAGAGGCGGCCAGACAGGAGTTCCCGAATGACATCCGTGGAGATTGGCCCGCGAGAGCCTTTTGGGCGCGGCGGCGGCCAAGCCCAGGAGGTAGCAGAGGAAAGGCGGCGTGTGAGCGTGGGCCACCAAACGGAGAGACACCATGTGGCGAGACGGGAAGCGGGGTCGGCAAAGAGGGAAGGGAGAGAGGGGGGGGGGAGGGGGCAAAGGAGGGGGAACGAACCAACAATGTGCAACCTCTCAAGAGAGTGGTTTTTCAGAGCACGGGCCAGCTCCATGCCCCCGGTTTCGGTGATGTCACACTCTTCGAATGGGATGAACAAAGAAGGGTAAGACTCCTGGCATGAGCAGGCATGCCATTCTATGGCAGGGAACAAAAGACAGAGAGGGAGAGGGAGAGAGAGAGACCGGTAGGCAACGCACGGATCAGGTAGAGCTCTTTGAGGCCTTGCGACTGCTGAAGAACTCGGGCCAGGTGAACCAGCTCGACTGGCGTGTCTGCGGGGGAGAAGTCAGGCAAACGTTTGGGGGTTGAACAATGGCACGAGCACAGCGAAGGGGAGGCAACCGGCGCACTGGACAGGAAGAGAGACTTCAAGGAGTGGGTGAACAGGGACAAGGCCGAAGAGATGCTATTGTTCGGATCGTATGTGCCGGGGGTTTTGTCTGAATTTGCGCATGGCAGCAAAAAGGCCGGGCGGGAGGGGGAAGCAGGAAAGACGCGATGAGACACAAGCACATGAAGGCGGGGGCGGGCCACGGGGAGTGGGAAGAAAGCACGCACGCGAAGCATGGTTGATGATGATGGTCTCGCAATTCCGGTACTTGGAGAGCTCGAGTGCGATCTTGGTGGACTCTGAGGCGGACAGACAGATGGCCAAAGCAAGTTAGCGAGGGCCACGCACGAGGAGAGGGGCTTCGCTGCGGCCTGCTCTTCGGGAGAGCGGGGCGGGGGAAAGGGAGGAGGGCGAGGGGCCGGAGAGTGGGCCTGGACATACCTTCCTCCGGGCCGTTGGCCGAAATGTGAAGAGCTGCTTGCGTTTGGTTGAAGAAGGACTCGGCGATCTGGGTGTCCAGGAAGGCCGGCGGGGTTTGAGCATATTCCAGCAGACTGAAGGGAGTTGATGCCTGGGAGCGCGACGAGCTGGCCTCTTTGGCTGGTGCGAAGAAGGACCCCAGTCGCCGGCGATACTCCTCGGGAGAAAGCCCCCTGGAGGAGAGTTTGCTCAGAGACGCCGGTGACCTGGCGCCATTTTCGCCAGTCAGACCGGCATTCAGGATCGAGGAGCATGGCTGGAGATTGGTGCTTCCTTCGGGCAATTGCCGCGAGGGCAGGACCGCCGAGGTGACCAGGTGCCGATGAAGCCTCCCAGAGCGAGGGCCGGCGTACATGGTCCTCAAGGCTCCACGGGCCTCGAGATGTCCGACACACGCCGCCGACCCGGGCACCCCCTGCGACAGGGGACCAGCTCGGCGGGTGGCCGAGAACATTAGCGCCAGCATGGAGACATTGGGCAGAGGACCGCGGAGCGCTGATTGTCTTTCAAGGGGCTTACAAGAGGATGAGGTGGCTGGGGCAGGAGAACGGGCGAGTGAGCGAGCGACCGACCGACAGGGGGAGGGAAGGGCGGAGCCACCAGGCAGTCGCGCAGCGGGGGGGGGAGGGGGGGGAGGAAGTGAGGGGAGGGGTATATCGGCGCCCGGGATCCACCCCCGGGCTGGGGACCTGGTGCGTCTTATCCTCCTGCACGCGGCGGCGGTGGTGAGAGGGTAGGCCGGATGACGGAGTCTCCTTCGCCGCGTCAACGGAAACAAGGCTGTTTCCGGCAGAGGGTGCGAGGACCCCCCCCCCCCCCCCTGGCTGCGCGCAAAATGCGCAGGGCGCGCACGCATGTCCCGCCGCGCTCGCTGCTACTCTAGAGAGTGGGGGGTTAGGCTCGCCTCGGTTTGACTCGCATGCACACGGGCACCGTGGGTGTTCGTTGGGGCCTCAGGCGCGCCGAGGTAGGCACAATGAACGCCCTTCGGGAGGGACTCGGGCGTGCGCCCCCAGGAAGATCTCGAGCATCAGAACCAGCGGCATGGCGGCCACGTTGAAGCGCGACCCATGGAATCGTTGGTATCTGGGAGAAGCCGGAACGTCGGCACTTGGACATGACTGGCTGCGATCCTGCCCTGTGCCCCGATCGGTGCCGGGGGGTGGGGGGGGGGGGGGGAA